GAAATCGTTTGCCTGAGCATGGAAACCCACATATTTAGAACAGATTTCTTGCTGAGGTTTCTACTTAATTTCCAATAAAAATGTTGTATTGAATGTAGGATGGAGAAATGAAATTTTTGCAGTGTGTTATTTAGTGACATCTGCTTGTTTGATTTAGGCCACTGTAAAAACCTGCAAGAGTTGAACGTCTCAGACTGCCAGTCTCTCACAGTGAGTAAGACAGATTTTTCTACTGTTGTTAGGTCCAAACTTCTCACACTGGAGAGCCAGTGGGCACAGCACACACTCTGTATGCATTTGGGGTTGACTATGGAAAAAGCAAACTATATTAAACATTGGCAAAAACATTTGCCCCCTCTGTACAATGTTATCATTAATCTTGTGGCTATGTGCTCTGTGTTGGAGCCTCTGGAAGATGGAAATTCTTTAATGGTCACATAAAAATCAACTGTGTTTATGTGTCACATGTGTTTATGAGACAGAAAGTACTGGGTCCCAGCAAGGTTTATAGACTTATTTTGGTGGGCTTCATGACTATTAGTAACCATACCAAAGAAGATGGAAATGAAAATATAACCCCAGATTCCTGGCCCTGGCCCCTTGTCTTGCTCTCTACCCCAAATGTGTCTTCTACACTGTGAGCACACAATACCCTTTCTGTAGGCAGGTCTGACAAAATCACTCCATCTTCCATCACCCATACACTACTGGGAAAAAAATCAAACCACCTTAGCATTAGTGAATCCTGGAAACTCTCTGCACTCTATTTTCCTTTCCAGCCTCATCTTGTTCCACTCTGTGTACACAGCAAGTTCCAATGGCCATGCACTAGGTTTTGTTCATGCAGTCTGTTTCCTTTTTCTGAGACAGGGTGTCACTATGTAGACCAGACTGGCCTCAAGCTCAGAGAGATCCACCAGTCTGTACCTCTTAGGTGCTGGGGTTACAGGAGTGTGCTACCACCCTGGCTTTTGTTCTTGCTTTGCCCTTTCCCTCACCTGTAGGGGAAGCTGTAGCCACACAGTCAGGCACACCAGTAGCCAGCCCTAAGTAGGCGTGGCTACAGCTTCCCCTACACTCACCCTCAAGCAGAGTTTGTGTTTTGATAAGGTTTAGCATCTATGTCACTTCCTCTAAGCCGTCACTGTGTCTCAGGACTGCCTTCACAGCTGCTCCTCTATATTCCCATCAGAAGTAGCTGCTAACTATAGTACTCCGGCTCCTCCACAAACGTAAGAGACAACAAACTCACCAGAATAGGTCCATCAGTGGCTGAGAAGACCCAGGTTTAAGCCTTTGCTTAAGAAAAACATAAGGTTTCAACAGCATTTAATGTCTAATTCCACTATATGGTAAGGCATAAGGGCGATGAACGTAGATCCCGTCTTATGTTGCTCTGAGTATGTGCCGTAATTGACATGAGAAGGATGAAGGGTAATCTAGTAAGGCAGGCTAAGCAGGGAGGAGGACACAGTGTGTGTCTCACTGACCCCAAGGAGCAGGTTGACAATTCGCAAAAGGAAGAAAGGAAACAGGTTCAAATCTAAGTGGGCTGGAAGACACTCGGAGAAAAGTGGCCCAAATAGGCAGGTAAGAAACACACTGAACGTGGGAGCCCAGACTGGAGAGTCAGGGACGCTAACTTCTGCTGAAGCCATGCCAGTGGGGTGTTGGGGCACAGATACAATTGCAGTGGGCTGTGAAATGGAAAAGACGAAAGAAAGTAAACTACTGTTTCCAGAAAATGGCTGAGGGGGTAGGAGGAACAGGGACAGGAAAACCCAAACAGGGCTATAGAAGCCAGTGGAGGCAGGCTACCCAACCAATTAAGCAAGTCTCTGAGGAGAGAGAGAGAGAACAGAAGAAACCTGACTGTGGAATGACCCTCAGCACACACAAACACCAGGCAGACACCAAGGCCCTTCCCACAGGTAACAAGATGCCTGAAACTGGCTCCTCAGTGTCCCTTCCTGCATTGTACACAGTAACATTGCCTCATAGTCAGTTATCCTTCTCAGATGTATGCTGTGTTTTAACGTTAAGTCACTCGAAGTCCCCACAATGCCATTTCATGGTCCTGGAACCCATTTTTCTGTCTACCTGACTATCACTGCTCTCACCATGACCACAGCCTGGCTACGTTTGTTCCTCCTTTGAAACATGCTCCATCTCTGCTTTTCCATAAACCTCAGGAAAAGTAACTTTTAAAAAATAGCATCGTAGAAATAAAAACAAATTGATGTTATTCACTCAAAGTGAACACTTTAATAATAATAATTCATGGTATATGCACAGAATTATGGAACCAGCTCCAAATAATAATAATTATAATTTCCAAACATTTTCTTCATCCTTGAGAGAACCCGTATCCATTAAATCACCTCTCATTTTATCCTAACTCCTTAGCACCATGTGATTCCATTCTTCTGAGGAGTAAAGTTTTTTTCTGTGAAGCTTATCTTCCCATTTTCAGAGCAGAACATTTATTTTCCCCAAAGGTGGAAGACACTTTGAGTAAATAAGACATCAACATGAAAGTACTAAGACCTTTAGAACACTTCACCTCTTTTCTCCTGATACAAACATGAAGTCTTTAAATTAGCTGTCTGCTTCCCACCCACCAGGCCACTGCTCTAAGCCGGGTCAGGTGACCTTCCTTTCATTGGCTCATGCATCAACACAGCAAGCTGCTACTTTATGTTCAGCAGTGTCCCCAAGAAAGCAAGGGACAGATAGACAGGTGATAGAATCCACAAGAGAAAAAAATTTCTTTTTCTCTGCTTGGGCTGTTTCTCTACCAGCAAGTGCAGAAAGGCCCCTTGGTCAAGAGAGACTACCATCTTTGCTGGCATTTTCTTCAGATCTCTGATGAGGATTAAAATGGCGTTGCTGGGAAATGGATTCATTTTTTCTATGGATATTTTTAGCACCTGCTATGTTAAAACTATCCCATTAGGTGTTAGAGGGAATTTTAATGTTAGTTAAATTTTTAGTTCTTCCCTCGGGGAACATTAGCTCTGCATATGAATACAAAATTGCATTCTTTGAATTTGGCCTTCTACTAGGAAAGCCGACAATAGCCATCTGCATTGAGTTTGTGAACATCAAAGTCTTGTCCAAGTTCGAGATCTATAAAGGGCTAGTAATTTTATCCAGCTCCGTTTTACTGTTGTTTTCCCCTTGGAGACATAGGCTGGGAGACAGGCTTACATTTAAAGATGTGGGTAACATCCATCCAAAGAGCTTAGCTATATGTAATCTCTTGTGAAGTGTATCGCACTGAGAAATCTGAGTCCCATGTGTTGTAGACAAATTCCTGAGCCATTTAGCAGGGTGCATGCTCAAATACATTTTATGTCCAAACATTTCAATATTGAGTCTTGTGTTCTCTTAAGTACTGAGAACGGGAGTGGCCTGAACTTGTTTGGGTGACTAGGAGTCCCCAGAAAGGTGAAGGCAGAGAAAGGGGTTGCTGATGCAGCTCGGGGGAGTCACATTCCCCCACTGCACACTGCACACAATGCTCACACTATCCCATCATTCTGAGGCTTCTAAAGACAGCTAAGCCAGCTCTCTCCCCTGTCCTTGTCAGAGGGCTAAGCCAGCTCTCTCCCCTGTCCTTGTCAGAGGGCTAAGCCAGCTCTCTCCCCTGTCCTTGTCAGAGGGCTAAGCCAGCTCTCTCCCCTGTCCTTGTCAGAGGGCTAAGCCAACTCTCTCCCCTGTCTTGTTCTATCTCACTTATATCCTCACTGAAGTGTTTTGCTAAGTTCATGGTCTCTGTGAGCCCCGCTTGACACTTAACATTTTCAAAGACAGGTTTGCACATGTTAAAGTATGGTGCTACATACGATGACGGCTGTCTTTGATTTTTGAGGGAAACTTGTAATATATTTACTGTATTTGTCTACACATATCTGAATCCTACATTCAGTGATCTAGTGACTAGAAAAATTGCTAATAGCTTGAGCACAGTGCTTTTCAAAGGTCCCACTTGTCCATATGATGTTCAAACAGGCTTCCCTATGCAGAGTCCCTGGGTCTTGTTTAAGATAGGATTTGCTGCCCAGGAAATCCCTCACTGGATGACTAACCACCAACCACTGTGCCCCAGGTTTTGCTATGGTAAATATCCATGCATCCTGGAAACAGTGAGGAATGCGATGTCCAACTGGTCCTGATACCACTGAAAATCAGTTTTTGCCATCCCTAGTGGTGTCTCAGCTGTCCTGCCCATCTGAATTCTCTAAATCACTTCTCAAAGCCAGTGATAATTCACCTCCTCCAGACAGATACCAGTAGTGGGCTATCCTTTTCTAGACAATGTCCTGAAATGTGCTCAAAGCACAGTTATTTAAAACTGGCTGATACCTGGTGGTATTCCAGGGAGATTCAGCAACCATCATTGAATAAATAAAGACCTATTGTTAACTCTATATCTCCTCTCCTCTTCTTTCTTTCCTTTTGTTTTAACAAGGTTTCAGACTGTAACTCAAGCTGGACCGAAACTCATTATGTAGCCCAGGTTATCATTTAACTTGAGGTGATCCTCCTGCCTCAGTCTTTCCAGTTCTGAAAATATAGGCATGCACCATTATGCCTGACAGGTACTATATTTTCTATATTTTTATATGCAAAGTAGCTCATTGCAGTCAAAGCTTGACACTCATCTGGCCTTTTTCAACTTCAGTTCAAGACTAGCATTGCTTCTCAGCTCAGCCATAGCCTTCAGTCACTTCAGCTTAATTCCCTCTCTCTAGCCCCAATCCCAACACTGGATCTTGTGCCTTCAATACACCTTGTGTATTGTCTATATTTTATGTCTAAGTTAGGGTGTCTGTTTTCATGAAAAGATATCATAACCACACCATGACACCACAGCAACTCTCACAAAGGGTCACATTTAATTGATGTGGCTTATAGTTTCAGAGGTTTAGTACAGTACATTATCATCATGGTGGGACTAGGCCACATGCAGACAGGCATAGTGCTGGAGAAGGAGCTGAGAGTCCTTCATCTTGATCCTCAGGCAACAGGAAGTGAACAATTTCACTTGGAATAGCTTGAGCATAGGAGACTTCAAAGCCCACCCCCACAGTGACACTTCCTCCAACAAGGCCATACCTACTCCTAATAAAGCCACACCTCCTAATAGTGCTACTCCCTATGGGGACCATTTTCTTTCAAACCACCACATTTTAGTTTTGAAATATATAAATTGATACCATATCAGAATTATCAATAATTTGTTAAACATTTATTTAGGTTTTTAAATGTATCATGCTCAGAACCACAGAAATTTAGTCCACACAGACAGATGACATGCCTGGGTTAAACATGCCATACCTTTAAATGAAGTCCAGTTGTTGAGAGAGTTCATTATTCCAATCTTTCAGAATAAATTTAAAAGCAGGCCAGTTTGTGACCACATTTCTGTATCTGGGCAGTCAAAAGTCACACTGTGATATTTGTGTCACATAATGGAATTTGCAAGAGTTTACCTATTGATAAAACATCATTGTGAGGTAATGACATTTTATTTCTAAAGAAAGGTGAAAGGAGGGGGCAATGAAGCTTCACACAACATGAGTAGTTTCTACTTTTTTTTTTTTTTTTTTTTTTTTTTTTTTTTTTAAAAACTTTTTTTTGTCTTTTTTTTTTTTTAAAATATTTACTTTTTTTTTTTTTTATTTTTCCAATTGAAAAAAAATTTTTTTTTCCAGCCTCGAACTCACAGATATCCAACTGCCTCTGCCTCCCAAGTGCTGGGATCTAAGGTGTGCGTCACCAACACCCGGCTAGTTTCTACTTTTTATTTGAAGTAGTATCAAAGAATATGAAGGACCAAGTTATGCATGAATATTTTTCTAGGACAGGAAAAGAGATGAGAGATAATGGAGCAATTGAAAATTCTCTGAGGGTTTGATACAGTTTCTCTTTTTCTTTTGTTCTGCAGGATGAATCAATGAGACACATTTCTGAAGGCTGCCCTGGGGTCCTGTATCTCAACCTGTCCAACACAACTATCACCAACAGGACTATGCGCCTCCTGCCCAGGTATGCCGGGCTGTCTGTTAGATGGAAGTAGGATCTCATAAGTACTTTAGGCTGGCCTTGAACTCATGCTTCTCCATCTTCTGACTAATAGGACTTGTATTATTTGTATCACATTGACACATTGAAAATGTTGTGCTCTCCTAGGCTTTGATTTGTTCTAGTTGACCTCAGAGATAATCCCCCTCATCAGCACCGAGTGAGCCATGGCAGCATGATGAGAGGACAACCTCTTTCTCATTCCTGAGCTGGAGTCTTTACTGTCCTTCGATGGCAGGTACAGCTGACCCTTGGCTTTCTGTCTCAGCCAGTGTTTTTGTCAGTCTTGCAGCAATGCACCCAGTAGCTTGAGACAGACCTTCCTGTCTCTTTCTGCTCCCCTTCCTGGGCATTGGAGCTTGCCCCCAACTTTCTTTCTAGTGTCTGAGACCTTTCTCTAAAAGAACTCCAACATGCCTCTTCCCCAGACTGCTGTCCAGCTTTCAGGTCCCCTGTGTCACATTGAGAGGCCACCACTTCCAGGGAGCTTACACTGCTGAGTTTTGACCGTCTATCAACTTTGATGTCCCTAGAGTATGGCAGGTGCCATTCCCTAGCCAGCACATCTCTGGTGAAGGCACAGGATAGCATAACATCTGGCAGAATTGTCAACTTTCCAAAATTTTTCTTACTTAGCTTTTCCATGTTTACTGTGGAAAGACTAGCCAGGTATTGTATCTGGTCTTAGGGAGATGTTCTACTATGACATTGGGAAAACAGTCCTCAAACCATTGTGAAAGACTGAATGCTTCTTGAGACTATAACTTTTGAGCTCCTTTCAAAATTAACAATAAGACAAAAAATTCTGGGTGACGACTTTCCTTATGTTCCAACTCTAACAGTTGTCTGCAAATTGGCAAACCTCAGGAAAGTGGCATGGTACTTCCGGTTTTTGTCAATGCTGCAAAACCTTCCTTTTAGAGTTCCTCCAGATTCTTTAAAACATAAGGAATCTTCACCTAGCCAGGCACTTAGTAAACATTCACTTTTTATTCCTATATATCTTTTAAAACTCAGGCATGTAATTAATTTAGAATTTATTTCAGTGATAAAAGAAGCAATGAACCAAACTGGAGGTCAACGAACTATTCCCCAGGTGGTTTTGTGTGACCCACTGGCCACGGTTTTACATTCTCCATCTGTAATAGCTGATCTTCCAACATTATCTATTGACTGTAGCTGTGTGTGGTTCTTCCTTTCATATTTAAAATTTAGACAGGCATAAGTGCTTAAACACATTCATTATTAGTACCTCTACATATAGCTGTGCCCACATCTCGGGGGTTTTCACAGCCATTGCATCCTGTCCCGTTCTTCCTTCAGTGACTCATCCCCAGTAGCTTGCAAAGGCTGATGGGAAATAGCTAAGATGACACACACACACACACACACACACACACACACACAAAGACTTGAATTATTGTTTTGGCAATTGTTTAGATTTAAACTGATGGAAAAGGCAATTTATAAAGTAGATTAAACTTAAAAGTTTGCCTTGCCTGTAGCCAGCAAATAGCATAAGAATTGAGATAATATTTTTTTTCTTTCAACCCTGTAAGACGATCTGATTTAGCAGCAAAAGCATTAATGCTATTGCCAGGTGTGTACACTCTGGGCACATGTCTCAGTTGCCTAACTGTGTTCTGTGATGTAATGGACGTGACGTTTGAGAAAATGACCATAATGTAACTCATAGAACTATACTCATGCCTCAGCAGCAGCAATCAGCTTATAGTGGGCTATCTCCATAAGAATTTGGCAAAAATTAAGCAAAGTATTGTACAAGAACCTACTGGCTATATGGAATTGACTATAATACTGTATAGTTTATTATTATTTATAAGTCATATGGTACCTAACCTTTGTAGTAAGACAAAAAACATTTTACAGAACATATTTGCACACTATTTTGGAGAATAGTTAGATATTTATCACTATATTAATACTTAAAGATAAAATAATTTATATGTAATCATCATCTTAGGAATAGAGTATTTTTATACTTTTCAAAGTTAAAAAAATCTCTTAATAAAATTTTTGTTTTGGTCAGAAAAATTTTTAAGTTATTAATACATGTCTTTTTTTGTTGTCATCCATTAGTTGCAGCCTTTCTGAATGTCTTCTATCTTTATTTACTAAATGGTCCTTTCTGTGTTGGAATATGAGAGCAAGTATCTTCTTAAACTTTTCATTTCAAAATGACACAGCAGAGCTAGGTAATTATTTCTAAATAAGAATTTGGAAAAAGTGTATTAGACTTGTTAAATATTATTTTCACTTTTCAAACAAGTAGCCTATATTCTATTTCCCTTTTGACTCAATACTTGGAGAAGAATTCTTTGTTTAAAGTGGTTGGTGCTTCAGTGTTTAAACTTCTGTCTTTAATTGTGGAAGAAGTATGGACTGAATTAATTCTGCTTTTTGGAATTCAGATTTCTTCAAGGACTAGTTTATAATTAGTTTCAGCATGCACATGAATGTTTAAAGTGAAGATAATTTGTTTAAGAGTACAAACTTCTGTGTATAAGTGTATGTTTATACATAGATCTTCTTGACACGTCATAATGTATCAGTGATATTAGTCACTGATTATAACTAAGCTCATAGTTTATTTTTATTTTATGTATGAAGATAAAGTATCATGCTTTATCATAAATTATAGCATTTTTCCCACATAAAATGGTATTCTTCTTCCTGGTTAATGGTTTTTCGTGATTTGTGTTGTTTTTTGAGACAGACTCTCACTGATTGGACTAGGTTGCCATCAAACTTGCAATCCTCCTGCCTCAGCCTTCTGAGTGTTGCAGTGACAGGCCCACTGCCATACTGAGCTGAGTTGGCTGCTGGCACCCTCACCTTTGCTTTCATTGTTTAGGCTTTTTGTGGAATTGCTCTATGAATCCCCGTCTCTTAAATCTTTGTCTTACTGGTTTTTAGTTGTGTTTTATGTGTAGCATGTAGCAAATTTCTATTTTATTTTTGGTTTTTGAAAACAGGGCTTCTCTGTAGCCCTGGCTCTCCTGCAACCCATGCTTTAGACTAGATTTGCCTTGAACTCAGATTCACCAGCAGTCGGGAGGCAGAGGCAGGCAGATCTCTGTGAGTTCGAGACCAGCTTGGTCTACAAGAGGTGGTTCCAGGGCAGCCTCCAAAGCCACAGAGAAACCCTGTCTCGAAAAACAAGACAAACAAATAAATAAACAAACAACAAAAAAAGTGGGCTGCCCACAGCTCTTTCTCATTATTCGTTTGTGGATTTTTCTTGGAGGGGAGGGGCTGGGGGTTGTACCACATGTTCCTATGGAGGTTAGGGTGATTTGAGGGACTCAGGTTTCACTAAGTCACTCTTCAGCCTAGAGCTATCCATGGTCACCAGGCTTTGCTGGTGAAAACACCTTTACCTGCTGAGCCATCTTGCAGGCCCATCCTTTATTCTAGGAACATCTCTGCCTGGTACTATTTTCTGATTTTAATTCTTTCCAGTTATTTCTGTTCCCATAGCCTTGGCAGCACTCTGCCGTGCTTCACACAGCACCCTGCCCATTCTGCCTCTGCTCTCCTTTCCTCTGGTCTGCACTGACTCATGCCATGGGCAGTCGTGTCTTATCTAGACTATTCCCTGCTGTCTCTAACATTAGCTAGTTGAACATACCTGTGTGTGTTGCCCAAGAGAAGCCCTGAGTTCTGGCCATCTTGTTCTTCATGCTTGTCTTCCTTGCAGAGGGGACGCCCTTCCTTTCCTACCTAATTCTTAGCTCTCGGCATGGCATCCGGAAGACCAGGGAGTTCTCCTTTCTCTGCATCTCAGCGGAGCACTCACTCATTTCCCCTTCTGGGAGCACACGTGGGAACAAAAAAAATGATTTTTGAGAAGGCGTGTGTGTCTTGTTGGGATTGCTCAGGATGATCTTCAACTTTGGGCTCAAGTGATTCTCCTGCCTCAGCCTCCCAAACAGCTGATGCTCCAGGACCACATTGCTGTACATGGCTTGAGTCTAGTTCCTTAATGGATCCTTTTATGCTGTAGTGAGTGCCCCTTTATTTGGCTTTGGATTTTCTCATATACCAGGGTTCTCTGTTATGTAGTCTCACCAATGTCCATCAAAGAGGAGCAGCCACAGCAAGATGTCCTGCTCATGGGACAACCTCAAGTTCACTCTCATTGTGAGGCTACCTCTTCCATTTAGATTTTCTAGAATATTCTGCCTCTTGAAGTCAAAAAGTCCCAAACTCAAAGAATCTACCTGCAAATTCCCATCTTCTTAGTCTAGGCCTTATCTTGGTGGTTTTGATAGAAATATTTTGATAGAAATTTCCATTGAGGGGGCTGGAGAGATGGCTCAGAGATTAAGATCACCGACTACTCTTCCGGAGGTCCTGAGTTCAATTCCCAGCAACCACATGGTGGCTCATAACCATCCCTTATGAGATCTGGTGGCCTCTTCTGGTGTGCAGATATACATGGAAGCAGAATGTTGTATACATAATAAATAAATAAATCTTTAAAAAACAGATTAAAATAAAAAAGAAATTTCCGTTGAATACATGGTATTTTACTCTTTTTAGCAGACCCTGTTGTTGAAGATGGAACATAAAATACTTCAGTTCTTCAGTGGAAACAAAGTCAAAATAAAGAACAAAAATAATTTCTGTGTTTTCTTAAAGATTATACTAGTGGCAGAAAAATAAAAAGAAAACCCATACCCTCAATAAAAAAGTTATCAAATAACTAGAAAAACATAAAACACGCCATAAATAGTCTTTCTCAAGGCAGAAATGGAGTTATCAGGCCCCTGTGCTGGGAAGGTGGTAAGCCTGGTCTTTCTCGGAAGGAAAAACATTTCTTTGCCCAACTCTAAATTACTTTATCAGCGATGCACAAATCTGCCACACTGTTTCACTGTAGCCAACCCGCCTCCACACTCTGGCGGCTTTCTGTCTGAAGCACTGAGAATCCCTAGGAACAAGGTGAGGCTGCTAGGATACCCATGCCTCCTTTTGCACTCAGGATGAGTCCCCTGACCTCTCACTTTGAAGGGATGCTGACTGGAGACTTGCAGCCTGGGAGCCATGGAGCCATTTAGTCTAACAACTTCCTTGTCCTCCGTAGCAGAGGCTTTTAACTTTCAGCCAGTGGCCCCTGCCCCCAAAGGGAAAGAAGTCAGGTGTCCATGAGGTTTGTGTGTGTGTGTGGGGGGGGGGGGTTGGGTGTGTATGTGCGCTTGCATGCACACACATGCGTGAGCATACATATAGGTTTAAGCATGTGAGTGCAGGTGCCCTCAGAGGCTAGAGGTGTGTGATCTCCTGGAACAGGAGTAGAAGATGCTGTGAGCCACCTGGCACAGGTGCTGGGAACTGACCTCCAGTTCCCTAGAAGAACAGCATGTGTTCTTAACCATTGACCCATCTCTCCAACCCCTGTTAAAAGGTTTTGATGGTGTGAAATCTCAGTTTTCACTACGCTTTAACTGAAATACAGGGGAATACATGAGATGGCTCAGTGCGTAAAGTCACTACCCTCCAAACCACCCGAGTTCAATCCCTGGGCTCAACATGAAAGGAAGAAAGAACCAGCTCCTAAAAACTGTCCTCTGACCTCCACTTGAGTGCACACACACACACACACACACACACACACACACACACACACACACGTGCTCCTGTGCACACAGACATACAGTAAAAACTTTAAATACTAAAAGAATATATAGATTTTAGCCGGGAGTTGGTGGTGCATGCCTTTAATCCCAGCACTTGGGAGGCAGAGGCAGGAGGATCTCTGTGAGTTCAAGGCTAGCCTGGTCTCCAGAGCAAGTGCCAGGATAGGCTCCAAAGCTACACAGAGAAACCCTGTCTCGAAAAACCAAAAATAAATAAATAAATAAATAAATAAATAAATAAATAAAAGCATATATGGATTTTATAGACTGCCAAAACTATTATAAAAATAGTCAAGTAAGTTTCTTAATTCTCATTTTTGATACTTACTGATCATATGGATTTAAGGAGGTAGAATGATAGGTTCAGGTAAGATAGAGACCTCATGTGACATCCTCCAAATTCTTGTTAGATGAGCATTGTTGTGGAACAATCTTTTTGTACACTGAAGACGTGTCACTTGGATTGGCTTAATGAAAAGAGCTGGCTAAAAACAAGCCTAAGCTATCGGCCAAACTTTCATAATTAATAATGTCTCTGTGTGGTGATTTGGGAGCTGGATGGCTTGACAGAGAAAGATTTACCGCAGAGCCTCCACTCCTTTAAATGAAAAAAAGATGGTACAAACTTCATAGAAACATAAAGATGTTGGCCTGGGACTAGCTTAGTTAATAAAGTGCTTGCTTTGCAAGCCTGAGACCTGAGTTTGATCTGCTAGAAACTATGTACAAAAGAAAAAAGCAAGTTGTGATCCTTGAGTTTGTAATCCCAACACTAGGGAGTCAGAGAGAGACAGATTTCCTGGAATGCTGACTAGTTGGCTAGCACACTTGGCAATAAAAGACCCTATCTCAAAACACAATGTTAGGAATAACATTTGAAGTTGTCCTTTGGTATGTGTGGGGGCAGGCACATAAGCAAGTGAGTACACACACATAGACATGCATACACACAAACATTGACAGACACACCCAGACATGCATGCACCCACACATACACTGACATAAGTACACAGGCATGCATGCACACACATATAAACTCTGACAGACACACTGGCATGCACACAAAAAATACTGACATAAATACACAGGCATACATGCATACACACACAAACACTGATAGACACATAGGCATGCATACACACACAAACACTGATAGACACATAGGCATGCATACACACACAAACACACACACACACACACTGACATAAACACATAGGCATGCATGCCTGCACACACAAACACAAACACTGACATATATACACAGGCATACATGCATAAACACAAATACTGACACACATACAAACACTGACAGACACACCCAGGCATTCACACACATGCACATGCTCACACATGCACACACTATAACACACACACACACAGACATGCATGAGTACACACACACAAACACTGACATACACACACATAGCATGCATGCATACACACATAAACACTGACACACAGGCATGCATATACACACATACAAACACTGACACACACAACCAGGCATGCATGTACACACACACAAACACTGACACACACACCCAGGCATGCATGTACACACACACAAACACTAACACACACACACACACACACACACACACACAGGCATGCATGCACACACACATTTTGGTCAGTAAATTAAAAGAGCAGTATATTTCTTTGAGGTAGTAGTAGCAGTAACAAGGCACAGATTCTCAAAGTCTACTGTGCTCCTTTGTTTTCAATGATCAAAATACCCCTCCTGATAACACCATTGGGTCTACAATACCCCTCCTGATAACACTACTGGATATGCAATAACCCTCCTGATAACACTATTAGATCTGCAATAACCCTCTGATAATACTATTAGCTCTGCAATAACCTTCCTGATAACACTATTGGATCTGCAATAACCCTCCTGATAACACTATTAGGTCTGAATACTCATTTAATTCTTTCACACTTCTCAAAGGCAAGAGCAGATGGGATCAAATTCATGACAAGTAAGAAAACTGAGGGTCAGGAAAGCTGCAAGCTCTGTCGTTTGCTAAGGGATTTCAAAGGGGCACTCATCTTTACTTAGCAGCCAGGAAAGCAATCTGCCACAGGATAGGGAAGTTGTAGTAAGCATCAAGGCTACAACTCTAATTCAATTTGGTCTGAGTCCAAACTCTTGTCTATTTTCCATGGTATTGTACTGCCCACTTCACAGGTCCTGTCTCCACATTAGAGAACTATTAGGACTGAAATCTCAAGTTCCACTCAAGCTGAGAAAGAGAAAGCATTTCTTAGCCCACTGTGGGGCTGGGGAAGGGCGCGTCTTTGGATGTTAGAGAGCTCTCTCTTTCCAGGTCCAGCCCACTGCCACTGTGGTCCAAAGGCTTCCTTGGCTCTTCTGTGGAACCTCATGCACACAGCCATTCCCAGAGGGGACCCTGTGTTCTCAATCAGTAATTCACCATGGAATAGAACCATTAACTCATACAGACTTGGTTTTCAAGTTTAGGGCTAAATCTAACTTATGGACAGCATTTGCATATCTTATTTCCCATTTATGTGAAGACAAACTTGATTTGCAAACTTTGTAAGAGGCAAGGAGGCATTTCCCCCTGCCACTTCTAGCATCCTCATCTGCTGCTAAGCTGTTGCAGATTCCAAACCAAAGGCAGATTGGTAACTGTACGAGCAGACAACAACAGTCCCCACATTGTTGGAATGGCATGCTTCGGAGGGCTTCGAGGCCTGTCCACAGAGTGGCCTCAAAACACTGCTCCTTACATGCCAGAGCAGACTCATCCTAACTCCCTCCTTTCCTTCTGGAAGCTCTCATTTTGGTCATTGTGGTAATGGCATGTTTCCTCTGTTCGAACTCCACTGAGATTGACAGCCTCCTGTGTAATTTTTATTTTTCTCAAGTGTTGCCTACTTAGTTACTCACTGTTCTTAGTCCATGCTTAAGCCCCAACACATATCAGTCTTTTCTTAATTATTTTTAATTAACATAAGGAAACCATTACCCACAAAATTGAGCATGTTGAAACCTCTGCTTTTGAAATCATTTTCTTATCAGACCCATTGTAAGAGCCTGCCGTGTTAGGTTTGCCTTTTCTTATCCCAAATCTTTCCCAGGATGGAACAGTTCATTTTCATTATATGTTTAGGAAAGGTTTATCTTCCTCAACATTTGGCATATTAGTTTGGCAAAGGTGAGAGCTAAAAACAAGAAAGCAAACTCTAACTTGGATTTCAGCAACAAATTAACTTCCAGATAATGTGCATGCAAGGCTCCTCCTACTCCCAGACAGTCTTACCCCACCGAGTTTCTCAAAAACCTAGCCAGATTCTTTCGTTGCCTTTGAAACCATGCACTATCTGCCCCAGTGCTAAAACCCCCTTTCCTTAGTAGGAAGAGAGGCAGCAATTGTTAAAGTGCTGACCATCTGCGAGAAGGGGGCAGGATGAGTGCAGCTTTAGTTCTCTTTGTCACCGTGGCTCGGGAAAGATGTGAGAAAAACTCAAGTGTTGGCTTCCCCTCCTCCCTTCTCTGCCCCATCGCTCCAGGTACTTCCCCAATTTACAGAACCTCAATCTGGCTTACTGCCGAAAGTTCACGGACAAAGGCTTACAGTACCTGAACTTGGGGAACGGATGCCACAAACTCATCTATCTGGACCTTTCCGGCTGCACCCAGGTTTGTGGTCTCTCAGTCTTCTCTATCTTGCAGCGGGCGGGCGGGCACGTCCTCCTCCCGAGAGCCAGCTGCATGCAGCCCTCATGTCGCACCACAGCTGTGCATAGAGGGCAGGCAGCACACTCTGCTGAGGTTTTAAATTACATGGCCACAGCTGCCTAAGTTTTCTCCAGGATTGCTACTATAGGCGCCTGGCTTCTGTCCACAGGCGTGTCACATCAACAAACAGGCAGAGCTCATTGGATGATGAAACGGACCACTTCTGAGCACAGTGAGAGGGCAGAGTCCAAATCTCCAAAACTTTATAGAGCTGCTAAGATCCAAACAAATGGGGTGGGGGACATAGGAGATTCCTGACGAGTCACGTGGGCCTCTCAGGGGGTAAAATGCTACAAGCAAGAAATGTGAGAAAGGAAAGTCCTACAACAAGGACTGTACGTGTTTAAAACTGCATTGCACCCATGTGCTAAATACTGCGAAGATTCAAGGTCTGCGTGGGAAGACGCGTTAAATTGAAGGAACTGGGATTAGGGGAGTTGGGCAGGAAGCCAGGGAAAGCTGTGGAGGCCTGGGCCTGGCCGCAGAAGCATTTACTGCCTCATCTGTAGTTTTTATAGCTCCAGCTATACTTCTTATAACTGATGTCCTACTATGTTCTTTTTAATACAACACGGGTGAGAGCTAGCTAAAATGAATCACAACTAGTTGTTGTTGCCGCTTGCCAAGATTCCAGGTGGTTGAAGAAACTGTCTGTTACTGCACATCCGCTAGAAGCCTATGTGCAGGTCAAGCAATGAAAGACCTGGAGGTGTGTCTGTGGGGCAACGGATGGATAGAATTCTCATGCAGACATACTGCTGCCAGAGCGTGGTTTCCTAGTGTTCTAGGTGCAGAAGGATTGGGCGAGGACTCGCTAAGGTTAGGAGTGTGGAGAATGGATGCCTTCCTGAAACTGGCCTGTGATGTGCATCAGCTCTGACCAGTCCTTAAGATGGAGTCACCCTTGTCTTCCTCAGTTTGCCTAAATTTCAGGTAGCTTCTTGACCCTGGCCCTCTGCTATATCTTTTTTTTTTTTTAGAGCACTTATTCAGAAAACCTGGAACTGTAGGAATTGTACATTCTTTTTCTTCCTCCTTTGAGGTGAAAAGCTTAACAAAAAAATCTTTGTGATAGTTTTACAACCTAGGAATGTCTTCCTTCAGGATCCGGGAGCATCCCTTTGAAATAATCACATCAAAGAAGATAGTGTCTCATCTGAGGGAGGATACAGCCCTAACTTATATGAGTACCAATTAGGAAACACAGACACTCCTTTCTCAGAGAAAAGTATTTCCAAATACAGAGATAGCTTCATGTGCTTGACAAATGCCATCAGCCAACCCCCCTAATTATAAATCCACTAGGACTTCTCTAGCTGCTCATTCTGCATCTAAACCACCATATTGGGCCTTCCCCCTCATGCTTCTTAGTTTCCATGTGGGTGTTTATTGTAGCCACAACACACAATAACACACACACACACATATACACACGAAATACACATTCACACACACTCATACACACACTCATGCAATATACATTCATACAGACACTAAAGCACACATCATGCACACATACTCATGCACACACCATCTATACACATTCATACACACACTCTTGAAATACACACTTATGCACACACTCATGCACATACACATTCATAACACACTCAAGCACACACTCATGCACACATACTCATGCACACACACATTCATACACACACTCATCTATACACACTCATAGACACACTCATGCACACACTCAAGCACACACACCCTCACACACACATACTCATGTACACACATTCATAACACTCATGCACACACTCATCTATACACACTCAAGCACACACACTCATGCACACATACTCATGTACACACATTCATACACACTCAAGCACACACACTCATGCACACACACATTCATGCGTGCACATTCTATGGGCAGTTATCTTCAGATACTGTAGAATCTAGGTAAGAAGTTTAAATCTGTGTTCTACTGCCAAACATACCTTGTCTGTCACTGAAAATTGAGCCAAGGTTTACACACATGAACGCCTGGTTTAAAAGTAAGCAAGTACAGTCTAAGGCTAGAGCCAACGTAGTGGGGGTGCACCCAGTATGGCAGTGGTAAGTTGGAACTGAGTCAGCCTTCTCCCTTTGAGATGGGGCATGTTCTCAACCTCAGTTTGCAATCCCGTTTCTGTCTGATAATGTGTGTGCCTTTATACATACAGTGACACCTGTAACTCATTGCCTGTTTGGCTTTGGTTGCTATACAGATTTGGTCTGGATGTGTGAGAAAAAAAACTCTTGGGTTGGGGAGAAAGCTCAATCACAAAGCCTTGCACCTGTGCTGACCTGAATTCAATTCCCAGAACCAACATCTTTTAAAAAGCCAGGAGTGTTAGTGTGCTTCACTTGTAATCCCTTACCACTTGGATGCAGAGAGAGAGAGAGAGAGACAGACAGAGAGAGAGAGAGAGAGAGAGAGAGAGAGAGAGAGAGAGAGAGAGAGAGGAGAGAATCCCTAGGCTTGCTGGGCAGCCTGCCTAACTAGCCTAGTCACCAAGTAACCAGCCTCCAAGGTGAGCAGCAGGCCAGTAAGTCTGAAAAATTGAAACAGATGGCTGTTGAAGACAACTCAAGGTTGACCTCTTGCCTCCACATACACACAGGTACATGCGCACACACTCACACATGAACATGCACACGTGTGCACACATGAACACAAATGCACACACACACACATGCTCATGGAATGAATACTAATGCATGCACATACTCATACACATGCACACACACGTGAACATGCACACATGTGCACACATACACATGTTCATGGAATGAATACTAATGCATGCAGATACTCATACACATGCACACACACGTGAATATGCACACATGTGCACACATGAACACAAATGCACACACTCATACCCTACACACACGATTGAAATGGTCTTCCTAATTTTATTTTGTAAATTGCAAATCACAAGTGTTTGTTTCCTCTATTCATCCCTTCTCCATTTTATTTGTTTGAGAATCCAAAAGAGACTTGATTCTTGAGGCCAGGACACTAGGAAAATTGAGCTCTAGCCAGAGTCCAGAGCACTGGGAGGAAGACTGGGGTCACTATACTAAGCACAGACCTCAAGTGGAGGAACACTGTAGTTTTACAAAGAGCCCTGCAAGTTTGCTGTCTGCTCACCACTCGGGGTCAGTCTGCCTAGCTGCCTCCTCCACTGAAATTTCAAATAAGGAATCTAGTAACCCACTGTCTTAACAATTTCCCCATTAGAAAGAGATTCTGGTTTTGGCCTAGAGTTTCAAGGGCTGTGATAAAACACCATGATGAAAGCAACTTGGTGAGGAAAGGGTTTACCTTAGCTTACAGACCCACAGCACAGTCCATCACTGAAGAACCAGGAGCTGATGCAGAGACCATGGAGGGACACTGCTTACTGGCTTGTTCCTCATTGCTTTCTCAGCCTGCTTTCTTATACATTCAGCACTACCAGCCCAGGGATGGCACCACCCACAGTGGACTGGGCCCTCCCACATCATTCACTGCATTAAGAAAATGCCCCACAGGCTTGCCAACAGTGCAGTCTCATGGAGGCATTTTCTCAGTTGTGGTTCTCTTTCCTCAGATAACTCTAGCTTATGCCTAGTTAATAAGAACACCAACCAGGACAGACCTGGAAACTAGAATATGTCTCCTATGTTTGGAAATGGACCCTAAGAAGTTATATGTACCAAGAAGAAATATCCTAGTAAGACAAAGACCCCTGGGTGATTTTCGATGGTGTTTGCCGAGTGTCTGCTGCATGGCAGACATGGTTAAGGGTAGGGTGGCACACTTTTCTTTCAGGAACTTGGGATTGACATAAAGTATAGCAAGGATGAAGCTTAAATGTGGTCACTACTGCCCAAAAAAGTATTGAGAAACAATTGTAGCCAAACATGTTAGAAAAATAAATATACAATGGAGAGCTGTAGTATAGAGTGAAAATCAATTCTGTATGTTTTAGGAATATTCTTCATTCTTTTTGGATTGGAGAAGCAGTCCAGGTGAGTTAAGGCATTAAGTGATGTGACTGCTCTTTTTTGTTTTGTTTTGTTTTTGAGACAGGGTTTCTTTGTGTAGCGCTGGCTGTCATGGAGCAACTGGTCTTCTGATGACTAGCAGGACTGTCCACTCATCTACCTCTGTCTTTCTCAGCTTCTTCTCTGAAACCTCTCACTTCACAACCAGCGCCAAGTCAGGGGGAGCCTTCTGCTCTTCTTGATAAACTAGGGCAAATCTCTATCCTTTCCTTCTCATTAAATCATGATTTTTAAGTTAGCAAAAAGTTTTTACTTCTAATTATTATTAAAATTGTGTGTGTTGTGATATGTGAGGTGTACACATGCCACAGTATGTGTGAGTGTGTGTGTGTGTGTGTTTTAAGATGTGGCGGTGGGTGTACACATCTCTCTCTCTCTCTCTCTCTCTCTCTCTCTCTGTGTGTGTGTGTGTGTGTATGTGTGTTTTAAGATGTGGCGGTGGGTGTACACTTGTCACTGTGTGTGTGTAGAGGTCAGAGGATAATTTGGTGAAGTCAGTTCTCTGTTTCTACCATGTGTGTCCCAGCATTTGATCCCAGGTCTTCAGGTTTGCATGCTATGCACCTATGAACCAGCTCACTCAAAGAAGTTTTTTTCTTATTAGGTGTATAAAAATTTGAAAATAAATAAAGAAAAAAAGAAATATTTTTAAACTACTTGAAATTTCACCCACTGAAATAACAAATTCTACCAGGATCTCATGGCGTAGCTTTCTGGTATTCTCTCCACACACATTTACATGCCTTTAAATTAAAATGTATGATATAGAGTACACACCTTTCATTCAGTATCCTGTACAGTACACAGCTTTCTTCTTCATTAAATATTTAGTGGTAACTTCAGTAGTTACC